AGAGCAGGCTCACGTGGTCTCCTGGTGTGTGCTTGTGTCAGCCGTGTGTCCGTATCCATACTGTTGTGTTGTGACCACAACAACAGAAAGGAAGGCTGCTGAGCTGGGGAGGGGCGTGGGAATTGGTTAACCACCAGCCACCTTTAACAGCCCTGGCTATTCCTGTGCCTTGGGAGCAGCGGGAGCCTCCCTGCTCCAGCGCTCAGCTCCTTGCCCGGTTCCCATGCCAGGGCCGTGCACGTGGCCAGCAGCCGGCCCTGCTGGCACAGGAGCTGCGGAGTGACAGGACTCCCCAAGGGGAGAGCGAGCCAGCACAGGCTCTCCCCTGCCACTGCTGGGTGCCCCGGCATCCAGCCCTGCGCTCCCCAGCCCTGCGCTCCCCAGCCCTTCTCACAAAACACAGCCTCTGGGGAGCTGCTGTCGTCTCCCGCTGCGATTCCGCCCAGAGCTTCCTTTCCCCGAGTCTGCGGCACAGCATGTGGGGATTGCAGCTCTCCGCCTCCTACAGACTTCGGTACGTGGCTGCTGGGGTCAGGGAGGTAAATGCACCCTGACCCTCTCCCGTTCCCTCTGATCACGCAGCTGGCTTGGGCCGGAGAGGGAGGGAAGGAGACGCTGTGCCAGCTGTGCCTTCCCAGCACCTCGCCACGGGATCGGAGAGCGTGGGGCTGCTGCCTGTGGCGAGCGCGTAGTGCGCGTGGCGCCCACGTTCTGGCTAGCGCCCCCGGGACACTTTGGTCTCTTCAGACGGGTATTCGAGTGAGATGGGGACGTACGGGCCATCTGAGGTGGCAAGAGATTCAGGAGGGCAGCGGCAGGGCATCCGCTTGGGAGCTTCCGGCGTGTCCTCCCCGACAGGACCAAACGCCTGCGGGGCCGGGTCACTCCAGACTGAGGGGCTGAAGAGTCACACCGGACGTTGGCTTTGTGGCCGGTGACATTCACCCGGCTCTTCCTTCTGTATCCGACCCCCCGTAACGGCTGCCAGGGAGGTTCCAGCACACTGGAACGTCGCGGTGCTCGGCCGCGTTCTCAGGACTGCAGGTGCTTCAGCCGCGGTGCTGATATTCCAGATGCCCACCTTGGGCATTTCTGGGCGTCTGGGGTGAACCCCGTTTCCTTTTGTCGGCAGTGCAGTTCTCCTTCAGGACCAGGAGGGGACACTCCATCCCTTCAAAGCCAGCCCTGCAGCAGACTCACTCAGGGAAAGGGTCATCAGCCTGTTCTTTTTCCTGGTGTTAAACCTCCAGTTTAACACCAGTTTGTGCCCAGACTGACCTCCCAGGGAACA